ACAGTTAAATGTGACAATGTGACTGAGTTCTGGCCAATGGAATTCCAAGGATGCTATATCATCATTTCCAAATCTAGTCCCATAAATGCCTCACTCTTTCTCTTGTTCCATCTTCAAGCTGGATGTTGATTTCCATGATAACACTGAAAGTTACATATTAAAATTGGCAGAACTTCCAGTGTCCTATGTCTCTGAATGATTATGTGGTGCAATGCCCTGACTGCATTATAAAGAAATCATATTGTGTGTATAGGCAATGAGATTTGGAATTTATAGGTTATTACCCTTTAATAAGTACCCTTCAATAACTGTTCTTTAACAGAATGACCTTTAATACATATCATGTTACTTTTCTATATTGATAAATTCTTCTGTAATTTTAGAAATTTTAGGATTTAAGGACCCATCCCTGTAAAGAAATACTAGCATTACAGTTCTTGGACCTCACCACAAGACAACTTTAATTCTAATGGTAACAGCCTTACCATCATTTCCAAAAATTTAGGTACCTAATCCAGTTTCTAATATGAAACTCTTATACATCTAATGATTTCTGTGAGTTATAACCTTAGTTAACTTCATCAAGACTGACTAAATAATTTGTTTGACTCTCCTGAACATGTATTACCCCTTTCAATACTTATTCTAAACTCTCTCTTCTCATCTCAACCCTCTTACCCAACCTGCTAATTCCTATCTTCTTATGTTCTTAGAATAGGCTTCTTACTTGAGGCCATTGAAATCATCATGGACTCTCCCACAGTAACATTCATTTGAAGCACTGCAGTTCTCATATCAAACACTGCTTCTCCTACCTTCACAACTTAGGAGACATGTATGATAGACCCTCTAGCAGGGCTTTCCCACCTGCAGGCTGCAGGCTGCATGTGGCCCAGGATGGCTATGAGTGCTGCCAAACAGAAAATTGTAAACTTACTTAAAGCCTTTTTTTTTTTTGCTCATGAGTCTTCATTGGTGTTTGTGTATTTAATGTGTAGCCTAGGACAACTCTCCTTTTTCCAGTGTGGTCCAGACATGCCAAAGGTTGGACACCCCTGCATTTGAAGTAAGTCATTTAACCTCTTTGAGTCATCTGTGAAATAGGAATCATAATGTTTGAACCATTTAGATCTGTTATTTTGACCAAATAATAAAATATATATAAACATTTTTTAATTTAAGGAATTATTATGATTTTTGTCCATGCTGCTATTTGAGTTTAATTTTTAGTTAGATACTAAATGTCTGCCATGAATTATAAAATACACTTTATTAGGAAACATTCCTGAATGTTAAGTTGTAAGTTTTATGAGAACAAAATTCTCTGTGGTCAGAATGTTGCTCATGATTTCTTATTTTCATGATCATAAGTTAAGTCCTATGTTTAGTCAATCCTTGAATATTGTACTCATAAGGGTCCATATATATGCCATTCCTCATTTCCTCCAGATGCACCAAGTAAATAATCTTTTCACTGTTATTTGTACAGTCTTAATTTATGAGTTGATATTCAACTATCCAATAAACAGAATCAGTATTGCAGGAAGATAGTTTAATTTACAAATTCCTTTCATGGTACAAATGTTGAGTGAACATGTTTGAACATCCATTACCTCCAAGGTGCTGTGCTCTTGAAGGGTACACCAGGTGATACATCTCCTGCCTCGAAGGGGAATAACTAAAGTGCAGCTCCTGTCAACTGGCCAAGTTGGAAGATGTCATACAGTTGCTCGAACTGTATCTTAGAATTGACTCCAGATTTCTCTCTCTCCCCAGTTGCAAAGTCGGACAATTTTATGAGCCAAATATTTCACAGATATTTACTTTCTTCTTTAAAACCTTTAACATTTTTCTCTTCATAACCTGACTCCTGCATGTTTCACAAGCTTAGATCATATCCCTGCTATTTTATGTTATATTCAGGTTATGGCAAACACATTGCAGTTCCACAAACACATCCATGACTTTGTTCATATATATTACAGTTTTCTCTCACCAGAATACCCATTCCTCTATTTTCCAGCTAATATTATCTGACTTTTTCTACTCACCAAATGTTATACTTCTAAAATCTACCTGAATACAATGCACAAACCTCAATCATAATGCGTACCATTTATATAAATTATATCTGTTTGTAGATCCATTTCCACCATTAGACTTATTATAGGAATATCTCAGTAGTAGTGGTAGTATCAGGATCATTTTGGCATGCCCAGAAGTGATATTAATTTAATATAGTAATAAGTAAATAGTAAATCAAAATTAATAAAATCTCAATGAACTTTTAACTTACCTTGCAATACTGGTTGCATGTTTAATAAGCAAAACGAATTTCAGTTTAGTAGACTGAAAGCAGAATTTTTGACAGCACATAGTTTTTACTGATGGTGGTTTTGAAACCTATCCTGGAATTTTTATGCAACTTTTAAGCTAAATTTTTATCTGTCCTTTATTTTTCGATTGGGGCAATATATATTAAGTTGCAATGGGCAGATAAAGTTTCTTTCTGGTTCTGGCTCACTTCCCCCACTGACACTGAGTTTAACAAAATACTAGAGAGAGTGTAAGCTTCTGTAGGTCTCCGTCGTTCCAGGGCTCTGGCCGGATGATGAGCGGATGCTTGAAATAGTGCCTCAGTGTGACCTGTATTTCTGGTCTTCTATGCAGTGTCCTTTCTGGTACTCAATCTCTTCTCTTTTCTGTTTTAATCAAAACTTTCCATTGTGGAAAAAAAAAGCAGTGTCGATTTGAATGATGAAAGGCAATTTTATCCTAGAGCTATCCCTCTGTGAAGTTTTGATTTAGGAAAGCCCTGGGCCGGTTCTCCATGCCGGCTGAGAGGTTTATAGTGCGCACAAAGCAGCTCCTGCCTGCCTGGAACTGGTGATTAAGAGCTCAGAATCATGAAATCTGCACAATTGAAATCTGACTGTTGGCGATAGTTACTATGCAACTCTTAACATTTCAGTTTTGTTTCTGTTAATAGTATAAAATACTCAGTTTTTCTTTAGGATTTAAGTCTTCAAGTACACTAAAATTTGTTCCAGTAGTATTTTTAATGAACAGGTTAAAGTCTTTCTTAATGCTCAGATTATATGCTTTCCTAAAGAATGAAAAACTTTAGCAGTTGTACAGTAGCATTGCTCAAACCTACAACTTTCTACATGAACAGCTGCACGGAGCTAAAAGTATAATGCCAATCTGTGGGCCTTAGATTTTTGCCTTTAAGCAGATTGCTCACCATGCCTTGATTAAAAGAGCAAATGCAACAAGACACACAGCAGAAATGATGGTAAGAGGCAGCACATTCTGATGGTAGGTTGATTCAGAGCAATTAAGAGATGCTTCATGAGATGTCTTAGACAAATGAATGTTTTTCTGCCCATCCTTCATAATATCTGAAATTCAAATGTTAGAAGAGATTCACACCTCACCTGAATTCAAACAGTGGCTCTATACTAAGATGCTCCTCTCTGGAGCAAGTAGAAATATCTTGAGTTTCATCAGCCACAGTGCCCCTGAACTATTGAACTACGGTTGTGATGGAGGGAGTGAATATGTCTGACACTTTCTGAGAGCCTATTAACAAAGGAACAGAACACAGTTAAGGCCATTATCTGAAGGACAGAAGGTAGGGATGAGATACTGCCATTTGAAGAGGAGATCAGGGCAGCTACGATCACATCTAAGTCACTCTTTGCCTGTAGGAGAACAACAGCAGCCACAAAAAAAAATACACAGCCACAGAGAGGTAACTGTAGACCTTGCAATCAGATGCTAACAAGCTTTCAAATTAACAGTGAAAATAAGCTCAGCAGTTGAAGACAGATTTTTTAGACTGGGAAAAATCTTGAAATGGAAATTAATTTGGTGCTACATCTCTAAGAAGTACTCATATATGGTCAATATATGAGTATACCAAGGACCTCAAAGTGATATACCTTTTTAAACTAAGTAATGTCATTTCTAGTAACTTATCCAATAAATATTTACATACAAAGACATGCATAACATATACACATAAGGCAATATTCTAAAGCCATTAAAATAACATCTTAATACTCAATGTTATGTCATAATACTATGCAAAAAATACAGGTTCCTAGAACCCTTTATATAATAAGTACCAAAGTCTATGAAACTTGCTTTTCTTTTATTTCTCTCCTTTTATTAGTGCATAGAAGAGAGATGAAAATAAATTATCAAATGTTAACAGCAGTCATTTTTTGATGTTGGGACATTGGATGATCAGTGTTTTTCCCTCAGTACACTCTTTTGATATTTATGACCATGAATATATATATTTTTTAACCAGAAAAATATTGTTATTTTCCTGCAGTAGAATTCACAGTGCACTTCAAACATACATCATAGGTGGTGTAAGTTGAGGCTAACACTGACAAGAGAATTACATTTGCACATTTCTTTGCAAATGTGCAAAACTTTGCAGTTTTACATGTATACATGCATGCATGCATGTGCATTATCTTAATTTTATAAGATACGTGTGAATTTTATAAGAAGCTTGAGGTAGGTATTGGTATCATCATCCCATTTTCATAGAAAAGGAGACTGAGGGCCAGGGAGACTATAATTTTCTAGCTTGTACAACTTAGCCTGGTACTTGCTTTATAAGTTTTGTGTTTTCTGTGCCAGCTTCTCACAATATGTAGAGACTACTGATATATTTTCTAAGTTTGTAGGCTAATTTCTGTTAAGGTCACCGAAGAACAAGAGTGATGGTTCAGTTTGATGAGTACGCAAATATGCACAGGGGCATCAGAGTCTCAGGTGGTACTTTTCCACCATTGTAGGAGCAGCAGGACAAACAGCTGCCCAGAGTGCTTTCTAAACAGGCTGTGACCACACGCATAAACACTTCTCCTGAACGCAGAACACTCTCCCGATGCTGACACTGAAACTTCTTGGCGATTTCCCAATGCCATTATGAAACTTACCCCAACCTCATAAATAAGGTTTGAGGCTCATATTTCATGTTTCAATCTATAAAGAGAAGTTGGGGAAGATAAATAGCTGGGGAAACCACATCTTCATGCTGTGTGGGACATTTCAGCTTCCCGCAGCCACCAACATGTCTTTGGTCCTGCTTTCTGTCCTCTGGCTCATTGTACAAACTGAAGGTAAGCACTCATATATTGACATTTTATATAAAAGTCAATTTATTTCATGCATTTTTAAAGTACTTTTAAGAAAATGACATGCTCATATGACCCAAAGGTCATTACTGTTTGCATTTTGGTATATTTACTCAATTTATATAAACTGTGCTCAATTTATACAAACTGTGCCATTATGATTGGCAAAACAGTTTATTAGGATGTCTCTGAAATTTTCTCATTCAATAATTGTACAAGTTCTATCATTTTGTTTTCTAAAACACATAGCTCCAAATGATAGCAGAAAAGTAACTTCAGACAACAATTCAAGTATTTCCTAACCATCTTCAATTTTATCTCAAATGACATTGATATTTCTACCCCATAAAAAGAACAATAATTTCTCTAAAGCCACAATTTATCCAAATGCTGCACTAGGGTGGATGACAAGGAAGACTCTGAAGTAAAATTAGAGTTAAGTTAGACATAACTGCATTATTGAGCAACATTAGAGATTAATTGAGCAACTGATCAGTTAGTACTAGATACTAAAATTCACTCTATTTTCAATCCCACAACCCTTTCCACGAATGGAATTTATATTCTCTTTTGATAAAGACCTTTTAGTATTATATTTTTAAATTCCTTTTTTCATATGTAATGAGTTCTTCTAAGAGTAGCATCACAGCAGAACTTTGGGAGTTGACTAGCAGAGATGTTATGAATTACTACTTCCCTTCAGGCTGTCTCCATCTCCAGGTATAGAATTGCTTGGCGTCTCTAAGGTCACATTGTCAGTCACACTGAGTGAGAATCTATCTCTAAGTATAGACACTTGTCTGTGAAAATGAGAACATTTAAAAACAAAACTGACCTTATATCGATGATTGAAGAAATAAAGAAAAAAATGGGTAAAGGTGTGCTTGCCAACTTCCTAGACTGGTATTAAATAATTTTAGATACACTGTGCTACTTAATTTTTATACCAACTTCTACTTTTGGTAAGTAAACTGATAGACATCAATGTGACTTTTATAAGGTTTTTAGCTAAGATGTAAAACCACATATTTTGGCTCCAATATCAGTTATCCTACTGTATGCAAGCACAATAGAAAATTGTCTGTGTAATGAAATTCCAAGTGAATCAAGAAGAACATTTAGTCTACATACAATTTTCCTTCTGGCTCTCTGGCGCTTTAAAATTATTCCATCAGAGAATAACAAGAACTTTATTTCCTGTGATATCTAAAGTCTTGAAGGCCAATGCTAATGAGGGAAAGAACATAATGGCTAATTGTTGTACTGAGAAATAAAATCACTGTCAGCAGAGTCTTTCCTGAAATTGAAGGAGTATCCATCTATGAAGATTTGATTTTTGGAGGAGTAGTCAGGGGTTGCACCACAGTGAGCAAAAGACAAAAGAAGAGCAGAAGAGATCTCTGAGAACATTAAAAGAAAAATTCATAATTTTTGATAGGAAAATAGAGAAAAAATAATCTGGATAGTACAGGTAGAATTCCCAGCTTCCATAAACTTTGTGCTAATCCCAAATCTGCTTTTTTGGGGCCTCATGACCCACTTTGAGAGATTTACACACATTGAGAGATTATCCAAAGAACTGTTTCCAGAATTGGGGTGGAGAAAGTGAGAGGGAAAGAAAAGTTCTTTGTTATCAAGGTCAAGTAGATGGAGGAACTCCTTTTGAATGCATAGTTTCTCAATTGGAATTCAGCCTTCCATGCCGTTTAACGAAACAACCAAGCAAAACAAAAGCAACACAAAATCCTTTCAATGTTTTTTATCGCTTTTATCTCTCTTTCTCTAGCAATAGCCATAAGGCAAGCACCTGAAAGAGAACTCTATAAAGTAGTCCATCCTAAAAAACTACACATTTTACACAAAAGAGAGGTACGGAATAACTGGACAGGGACCCATGGTAATGAGGTAAGCAGTGTGAATGACTGTGGGGTTTTTCAATCATCTGAAGAGACAATAAAGAGCCTTTTTATTAATGCAATTGATGTCATTAGTCAACATGTAATGGTTTGTTATTGAAGTCCTTATGTACAACCGCCCCTTCGTCCAGGAGAAAATTCGGGATTTCTCAGAATGCTTTCACAATTAAGTAGCAGCAGGGGAGTTAACTGTCTCACACAGTCAGAAAGAATAAAACTGCTTAGGCATTTCTCCAAGTTTCTGGGACGGAACAAAGGTGCCCAGGAAAGGCAGCCATTTTTTAATATGTTCCTTGCTGAGCTCCCCAAACTCATGTCCTTACCTTCCCCCTTTCCCCCACGAAATTGCCTTTTTTTTTTTTTTTTACTGTTTTGTATATAATGGAGAAATCAACATTATCTCATGAATTAACAAGATTTTTAAGGTTTACTAAGGACATTAACTCTTTGACTATTTCATTGTTGTAAACATTTCCTTTATTTTATAATTTGACTTTATTTAATTTTTAGTAGGTTTTTGGTTGATTTTCTTTAGTATATTTAGTTTGATTTTAATGTAATAAAAGCATATGCCTTATTATTAACCCATTAGTGATCCATTAGGATACACAGGACTGCGTACTGTACATAGGGCAAAAAATTAGTCCCTATCTCACATAACAGAGTTAGTTTAATCTGTATTATTATTGTGTTATTGTGCTTTTTGGAAATCCATTTAAATATATAATTTATATTTAATTTTACATGTTATAGAGGCATAAGAGAGCTACTTTTACCTTACATGCATTTTCAATTACCAAAATAGAAATTGATATCATTATGTCATTAAATTAAAAAAAATTTTATTGTTGTTCTATTACAGTTACCCCAGTCTTTCCCCCTTTGCCCTCCTCCACCCAGCCCATCCCCCACTCCCACAGTCAGTCCCCACACCATTGTCCCTGTCCATGAGTCTTTCATACATGTTCTTTGACCAATCCCTCCCGTCTTTCCACCGTTATCTGCTCTCCACCCCCCCCCCATTGCTATCAGACTGTTCCATGTTTCCATGCCTCTGGTTCTGTTGTGCTCCTTAGTTTGTTCTTGTTCATTAGGTTCCTCTTATAGCTGAGATCATATGGTACCTGTCTTTCACCAACTGGCTTGTTTCACTTAGCATAATATTCTCTAAATTTTTAAGGAAAGATATGAGCCTGAACTTCAGTATCGGATTATTTTAAATGGAGAAGTCATTCTCTGCCTACAAAAAACCAAGTAAGTTGTACTTTCTGAAATTTAAGTCACTGGACTGTATTAAGAGAATGTGGCAAAATAAATCTTAAGACTCTGTTTAGTGTGATTTGAGATAAAGGACATGAAGTATATTGAGTTTTAGATGTTTCAGATACATTTGTGCTAATGCTATCTCAGACATGTTGATGTTTCCTAGGAGAGATTCTGTGCAAAGTGTAAAACAAAGAGAGCTGCACAAATAAATGACTTTCTTCCTTGATGCTTCTTGGAATTTACTGAAATACTTTTCAACACAGATAAACTGAAACCTTCCATTACTTTTATGAGAACATATATGTCCAAGGCTTCTTCAGGGATGCGGCTCCAGTGAGCTCGGCAGCAGCTGAGAACATTCTCTGGGGATGCGAGGTCCCCAGAGACCCTCTGGTTCTACTGTGCTCCTGAGTTTGTTTTTGTTAATTAGGTTCCTCTTATAGCTGAGATCATATGGTATTTGTGATCAGCTGGCTCATATGGTATTTGTCTTTCATCAACTGTCACATTTGTGACCCGGCGCAGAAGCCTGGAAGGATGCATCCTTTGTGTGAAGAATCCCCAAATAACCCATTCTGAATGTAGAGAACATGCAGTTAAAGGGTAGCTGAGGGCATTTCCTCCCTCAGATCTAACAGGAGTAGCTAAGGCTTTGGTTTGCATCAGCAGCAGAGTTTCAGCGCTGAAACTCTGGGAAAAGATCAGTTGGTCAGAATGCCGATGCCTTCTTGTCGTAGACAGTATCATTCCTTTAGTGCTGGAGCTCATGGCAGGAAAGCCTTTATTAGTACAGTGGGTGAATCACGCAACTTTCTGCTCACTGCAGGCATCTCCTGGGCCCCAACTACACCGAAACCTATTTCTCTCCCGAGGGAGAAGAGGTCACCACAAGCCCTCAGAACGCGGTAGGTTCCGAATGCTTCCAGGGACTCCCTCACCACTCAGTTATAAGATTCTTGAACCCAAGGACAACTTAAAAGACATGAAGAACTTGAAAGCTAGGTGCTTATCTATTCAATGAGATAAGGCAAAAAAAGCATAATCAGCATTTTTAAAGGGTCGGAGTACTAGGAGGCTTCCAATGTTGCATTTTGTGAAGCAACCCAAAGGTTACTTTTCTCCTAGACCACCTTATCAATAGGTTAGAAATAACCTATTTATTATATTCTGATAATACATGCACTTATCCTGAGGTCAACAATAGAATATCAATTATTTAATTAATGTAAACTTATATCTGGTTAAACCACCACCCAACAGATAATGCCAAGGCCTAGATGTCAGACAGAGAATTAAAGCCAAAGGAAGAATAGAAAAAATATAAAAAGGCTTAGTCATGGAGTATTATCAAACTAAGTGAGTTTCTCAGAGCCACCCCCACTCACCAGGGTACCCTAAACGAGTACACTTCTAAAAAAGTACAGATAAGACTTCTGCCACAAGGGGTTCTTTGTTTCCTAATCACACATAGATATAAGATAACTCTCATCTCATAGATACCTGGAATTTTGCTAACATTGACCTCCAGGAAATCATCTAATAAATTAATTCATGCTCAAATGCAGTGGCTGATACTTTAATGTGGTACCTTTTCCAAGTCTCCTATGAGAAAATGTTACAATAACAAGGTTTCTTCCAAAGGAAAGGAAAACACAAATGGAATTTCAACCCTGAGACAAGTCAGTTTATTTTGAACAGGAGGTTATTCATTAGCTTTCTTAGATCATCTGTACAAGCAACCCCCTATTTTTCATATACGGATCATCAAACATGTCTGAATGTTTAGCCTTAGACAAATTCTCTGGAATTTTGATAATGGTAAAGAAATTCCACTAACATACCATTTAATATGGTAAGTGGGACCAATTAATACGAGGGGCTCAGGAGAGGTTGCGCAGCCTCCTTAGGACTATAGAATCTAAAAAAATACATACCCCCTTTTATTGATGTGGTATACACAGTGTCTTAGAGACTCAGCAAAGGGATCCGAATTCTCACAAGTTGTACCTCAACCCTGAGAGTTCCCTAGATCACAGCAGAGCTGGCTACTTCCCAGATGCAGTGTCCGTCCACTTTTACCATGAGCGTGCTGAGGTTCAGCCTCCCCGAACTTCTGTTTATTGCCCATTAGTGTCAGGAAGACAGCTCCATCGTCCAGTACACAGAATGTGCAGGATCAGTGGCGGGACAGTTCATACAGCCCTGGAGGTTCTCACTGGTTTTGTTTCTGCGAAGTGGCCTGGACACAGTCACGATTCAAAGGCCTGTCCTACATATGCAAGATAGCAGCTTCCACCACCACTGTGTTACATTTATTCTTACAGTTAATGTATTTTTTCCAACCTTAGGAACACTGCTACTACAAAGGACACATCCTGAATGAAAAGGATTCAGTGGCCAGCATTAGTACTTGCAATGGGTTGAGGTGAGATCTGTTCCCCAAAATACTAAATATCAAGCATCGTTTTTTTACACAGAATGAGTCTTTGGGACATCGTGTCTTATAGTATCTTGTTAAATTCTCTCCATCTATAAAATGCTGAATATGTGTGGTTAAAGTGAACAATAAGAGATCACCCTTGCAATCATTTTACGATCTGCTGATCTAGTAGAAGTTATTCCTGGAAATATTCAAACAAGACTCTACACTCTGGGCCTTGATGGCATCTGGATCCATTTCCACATTTATCCATCCTATTCCTTAAAAAATTCTGTCTTATTTTCTTAAAGATTCTACCCTGCAATTGTCATGGTAAAACATACATTTAAAATTGTATGTGTGTGATATTTCTTCTTAAAAAGGTAATTTTTATCAATTGGAAAAAATTTGAAAAACAAGAAAAATGCAAGTATGAAAATAAGAAAGTACCCACCATAAAGTTTGTCCGCGGTGTGATTACTATTATTAATGTTTTGTCATGTTTGCATCTTTTATGCAGATGGACAAATATATCTTTTATATCATTGAAATATAAAATAAAATAAGCATAATTGTTCTTCTAACATGGTCCATACCATGTGACATAAAAAGCCTTTTCCCTCATTATGAGATACCTTCAGAGATGAACTTTTGAATTGCTATGTACACTTTTAATATTCCATCATATGGATTCAACTTTAAATTTTTGAATGAGCTTTATCATGATAAAGTAGAATTCTTCAAACTATCAGTTCCAGACTCTTCCTCTGGATAAGCCGCTCAGCATTTTTCCCTTCTCTGGGGTTCTTGGGATCTAGACACTCCTTTACTTCATTCTCCATCATGTTCCTAAGACCTGCCAAGAAGTATATGCTAACTGTATAAACAAATGATGGACAAGTTCTGTTGAGCTCACCATGTCAATTCCAAATTCTTTGGGGTAGCTTCATCTTAGTCATTCTTGTTCACAACTCTCTGGGTAAATAATACAGGCTCCATTTTAGTATTGACATATGTTGATTATCACTTAAATTAGCAAAAGTTAGCCAAAAGCCTATGAAAAACCACTGTATGTGTGATCTTGGGGTAGAGGGAAAGGTGTCCATTCTGGTCAGTACATGTGATTCCATGGCAGAGAATCCTCAAATATGAGTCCCCATGTCTCACAGGGGATACTTCACACATCAGAATCAAAGGTACATGATAAAGCCTCTGAAAAGCACAGACCAAGAAGAACATGCTGTCTTCACATATAACCTGGAGGAGCTGGACACAGCTAATCACACCTGTGGTGTAAAAAATGTTGGCAGAAAACACAGCATCATCCGCACCACTAGGTCACTCAGCAGCCCAGAGGTGAGTGTGGCTTCCTGTGTCATCGTTCACATCAATCATCTCCACAATGACAGTGCAATGGACTGTCATGCTCAGCAGTGACAGGGGTAGGGAGAGCCTGCACCCTATTTGCTTGTGTGTCAATTTAATTTCCCTCTGAAGAAAAAAATTGTCTTTGTAAGCTTTTTACACTTTTAGCATGAAGGTAATTATTGACAGTGTTCTTTCACTCTTTGTAAAGCAAGAAGAATTACTTCGGGCTGCAAAATATGTTGATCTCTTTTTGGTGCTGGATAATGCCTTTGTGAGTATGAAACATGTGTGCTCCTTGTCAAGTTAAGTCAACTTTTAAGATTTCTTATCAGCAAACACAAACAATAAACCTTTCTGGCTGAAAATGCAGAGCCCATCCTCCTGACTGTCTGACCTGTTCTATCCATCTTGCCAGCAACAGTATTCCCTCACCCCCTTTGATGTCCACCTGCTACCAAAATACTTAGTTATTAGAAATACATGAACTTAATGAAAAACAAAAATGAAAAAATAAAAATTTATGTGAATGCCTAATTTTTCTCTTATCAAAAAAATCTTACATTTAAAATACAATTTGTTGAAACATGGAATTTTATATGAGGTAGACATGGAATGAACAGAGATTTATATACATTAAAATGTATGATTTTGCTTAAAACGTCAACTAAATCCACTTTCTCACTGTAGTTTGGGATCTTAATTATACTTTGCATTTTGTATTTCACAGTACAACATGTATCAGGGAAATCTAACGTCAATAAGAAGCTTCCTGTTTGAAGTGATGAATCTGCTCAATGTGGTAAGATACAGCCTCAGGATCTCCTATGGTCTCACCAAATAAGGAGTCGGGAGGGCCACATGGTTTAAGGTCTGCAGCAGTTTTGAGAAATTTAACAGATAAGAATAAACATTAAGGTAAAATCATATGTACTGTAGCAAAAGCAACTTGTAGAATTCCTGCTTTCAAAATGGGGTATATTTATCCATCACTTGTGGTTAGCAAAGGATCTAAAACACTAAAGAAATCTCAAAAACGTTTATGAAGAAAAATGCTCTTCCCACAGATTTATAACACCATAGATGTTCAAGTGGCCTTGGTAGGTATGGAAATCTGGTCTGACGGTGATAAGATAAAGGTAGAACCCAACCCAGGCGTCACCTTTACCAACTTTCTGAATTGGCATCGTTCCAACCTGGGGAAAATGAAGCCCCATGATCACGCTCAGCTACTCAGGTAAGCCACACTGGCCAGGGCCAGGTGTAGGCAGGCAGAGCAGACAGTTATCCCAAAGGTTTCTTGGAAGACATTACTGCTCTGTTGTGTGTCCCTGATCAGTTGTCAGAGAGCCTGTAGTTCTACCATTAGCAATTCACCTGTGAGGTTATTGAAGACCTATGTCAGATTACTAAAACAGGTTCTTGGATGTGGGACAACCATCAACAGTCATTATAATGCTATGGAATGGCATATGCTTTTCAGGGATCTAGTGAATATAAATAGGGTAGGGCAACAAGGAAAATCAAAAACATGATTCACAAAAGCAAATCGTTCCAAAGATTCAGATTGTGATAATGTACCTTTAACTTTCACACAGTGGACGTGTCTTCGCCCATACACGTGCAGGAGTGGCAGCGGCAAATTCCCTGTGTTCCCCATCTTCGGTTGCTGTTATTGAGGTTTGAAAAGTTACAGCAAATCTTCTCCATGGTTCTATATCCTCTGTGAAGACCAGCATAATGCCTTATATATAGTTTGTACAATGAGCATTTGCTGAGTCAGTAAATAGAAGTAGAAAGAAAACTACTGGTAGACCACTGCATCGAAGGTTCCTTGGATTACAGAATTGAATATTTTCTTATCTTGGCTCTCCCAGAAGGCTTAACTCTTCAGCTGGCATTAGGGAGTAAGAGCAGGGAGATCAGGAGGGAAAGGGAATCCAGGTGTCCTCTGTGGCCTGAGCCAACTTCAAGTTAATCATCCTCAGTATCAATGGCCAGAGAGATAGACAAGGTGCATGCTGGTATAATGTGGCCAAGCACTACTGATGTCAATAGTTTTGGGAAGCCTTTAAGTACATAGTATGGTATCTTTTGGGACTTCTTACAAAGAATGTGTTTACCTGCAAATAATCATGGTTTACTGAGAAAGCATTATTAGTTCAGCAAATGTTTATTAAACTCTGACTCAACGGTTGATTCATAGGAACCAATAATTCCAAGTGTTTATTCAACATTTTATAATAACAAATGACAGGGAAAGGAACTTCACGACTAATTACTTTTTACTTGTCAAACTATTATTTTACTTCTGAACATTGACAACAATTGAAAATTAACTGAATAAAAAGAAGAAGTAATGGACATTTCTACTTTTTCAAGGCTAACAGAAAGAATAACGTGGCTCTTGTCGCGGTGATGTCACATGAGTTGGGTCATGCCCTTGGCATGCCTGACGTTCCATACACCACCACGTGTTCCTCTGGGAGCTGTGTGATGAATCAGTACCTAAGGTGAGACCTTGTCAACTGCGGGTGAAGTCCCCACACAGGGTACGTACCTAGGTTGTGGGTTCGACTGCCTCCAGGGGCAAGTACGAGAGGCAACTGATTGATGTTTCTCTCTCACATCAATGTTCTTCCTCCCTCTCTCTCTTTCTCCTCTTCCCTCTCTTTCTAAAAAAAAATCAATACACATATCCTCAGTGAGGATTAAAAAAAATCAGATGTAGTCTCCACAGCTGGGTGGACATTTTTTATCAAGAGCTGTGTATCCCATTAACTCACCCTCCAGCCTCTTGATGCGTAAGTTTTACCAGATATTAGAGCTCATTATTTAAGATTTCTAAATATACCAAGGTAAATAATAAGTATGGTGACTATGTTATTTCAACTTTAAATAATGTATTTTCTAGAATTATGGACCTAATTAAGATGATTACAGCTACCCCATCACCAGTTAATCAATCAATCCATTTTTCTGTGATGTATGATTGATCACAATACCACCCTCCATATATAACACAGCATAGCCCTAAACAGACAGTAAACTTGGAATTTCCATGGAACCAGGTAATATTTTTAGACAAGTCATATTCTCACATTCATTTATCACAGTATATCGTGGTATTTTTTATTTTTCTTCTGGCTACAGTTCAAAATTCCCGAAGGATTTCAGCGCATCCTCCCGCTCACACTTTGAAAGTTACATTTTATCTGCAAAACCGAAGTGCCTGCTGCAAGCCCCGACCCCTAAAGATATACTCACAATCCCAGTGTGTGGGAACCAGCTTCTGGAAGTGGGGGAGGAGTGCGACTGTGGTTCTCCTAAGGTATGGAATTGTCCACGGTTAGAAACCTCACTATACAATGATTGCAGCATAACTGCTTTCTCTCTTTTTCCTTTTTTAACAGAATGCTTTTAAAAAAAATTTCTAAAGACAAGCTTGGCATCATCGTAAAAAGTAGACTTGCACTTATGTCAGTACTGATTTTAGGTACTTTTTGAAAGGCATTTCAAAAGCCAGGATACAGTGTTGATGTAATCATATGAAGTTCACTGTAAAGAAAGTAATCATGAATTATAATATGTCACATGAGCTTTTCTGATACTTTAGTCAGAAACCCTATGCCCCACAAAATCACAACTGATCATCAGTTGAACAATCACAAGCACAGGTCTAGACATTCACTTCACAGAGCATTAGCTGACTTTCTCTGATCCGGCTAGTGTATAAACCAAACATTAAATACAATGGAGAAAGAAAAGGACATAAACCTGTAGAAAATGGGCTATAAATATTGAAAATACAGGATAATGACTATGAGTCTGCTGATGTCTATAAAATCTGATGCGTTCAAGGTGTCTCCAGTAGAATGTTTGCTAGCAATCCCATATTAGGTTTCCAAAAGAGAGCGTTATGTTTTCTTAGTAATCTTTTACTTTTAAGACTAAAAAATTGAGTTACTATTTGAAGAAATTTTCCACGTGTCAGTCTACAAAATGCATATATATGTGTAATATACATACACCTGTGCATCATCTCCTTTATCACTCACAACAAATCTATAAAACAGGTTTTGGGATGATCCCAAACTAAAGAAGCAGTGAGACTAAGAAAAGCTGAGTAACTAGTTCCAAGGATACAAACCTAGTAATTAGTGAAGCCCATTGCAACCCAAGATTTTCACATTACTTTAAGAGGCTCTGTTAAAAAGGGGAAGGCACCTGGCTGGTACAGCTCAGTGGATTGAGCACAGGCCTATTAAGCCAAAGGGTCCCTGGTTCCATTCCCAGTCAGGGCACATTCCTGGGTTGTGGGCCAGGTCCTCAGCAGGGGGTGCCCAAGAGGCAAACATACATTGATGTTTCTCTCCCTCTATTTCTCCTTCCCTTCCCCTCTCTCTAAAAATAAATAAAGCCTTTAAAAATAATAAAATAAAAAGGGGAAGTCATATGTTCTCTCTGTGCTTCAGTTTATTTATTCAGAAATTCTAAGCTGTTGAATTATATTGGATCATATGGTACAACTTGATTTTTAAAAACATTGCAAATATTTTATTAGTTATAATGAGATTTGGAATGTAAAAAATTATTTAATACTTTATAAATGTTGGGTTTGCATTTATATCATTCTTACTTGCTTACACCCCTATATGGTTTCTAAAGTAGAAGACCACTGAAATTGTTCATAATTCTAGGCACTTCTAATTTCAGCAGGTAAATGGTATACATTTTATATATATATATATATATATACACACATACATATATATATACATACACACACACACATATGTATAGTATAGTATCCTTTAGAAAATAATCCTGTTTCCCAAGATCTGATATGCCATTTGGCTCTTTCTTTAGTGTACATATTTGGGTGTTTTCTGGGTTTTGAATGCAATCATTCTATCTGGCTGAATACCATGGCACAAGCATCATGCTATTTTAGTGATTGTACCTACACAATGCATTTTAATATCTTTATTAGTAATTCTCTTCATATATATGTAGAATTTGCATAGCAATTCATTAATCTTTATTTTTCCATATACCTATTGGCACTTTTTGTCCATTTGCCCACAAATATGGTTGAGATTCACACCGAAATGTTAATTTGTATTTTACTCTGAGGGCCAGTGGCATTTTCATGACATTGAGCACTGTCTTCAAAGGCAATGTGCCTTGAAAGTTTCTCAGGAACATTAACTCTGACACATTTTGAAGGTTTATTCTGAAGTATTTTCTATTTTTTTTTGCTACTAATAGTTGTAATGTTTTCTTTATTTTAGGTTTTAATTATTATTACCTTTTATGTTATTGGATTATCTTAAACGGCTATCTTAGTGACTCACCCAATATGTTTAGAACTGATCTTATATTTTTAGCCAGGTCAAGAATTTTATCACATAAGATAATGAAAATGTGATATATACTAACCACATACTATACTCTCATATATTTTCTTATTTCATAGTATTTATTAGGATATTCAGAAAAATATAAACTATAAATAATCTTTGCCTCATTATTTATTGAATATATTTTTGCTATTAATCAGATAGATTTTCTTCATCATGGTGATACATAATTTGGTTCATGGTGTACTTATAATATGCCTGAATAATTCAGTAATGGCTACTGAATTTTTACCAACGAGTTTTCGCCATCTATCACAGTAAAAGTCATTTTCTTCCCCCAGTTTCTTGACGTGGTGGATCACGACTCTGTGTCCTTTGCAGTTGAGACACTCCCACATTTTTGTGAGGAGACAACTCCACATGGTTGTGAGAAAGAGCTATTATATTAATAAAATGGTGCTTTATGAATAATTTATTCAGTTTTACATTTATATTCACAAAGGACAGCGGTGTGTGTGTGTATCCATTACCAGTTCTCATCGGAATTATGCATTCTTGGTATAACAAATTGAAGATTGAATATTTTTTCTCTGTCTTCAGTATAGTATAGAAATATTCTCCCCTGAAGTTTAAAATTAATTTACATGATATCATCTAGGACAAATTTATCTGTGGTAATTCTTGGATAATTTAATTTTTTGTCCTTTCAAGCAGCAGTTTTCATTATATTTAATATTTTTATTTTAATTATTGTTCAAGTGTGGTGTTCTGTCTTTTACTCCCATCCCAGCCCATCCCCCCAGCCCTCTCCACCTCCCTCCCATTTCCACTCCCCCCTCTAGTTTTTGTCCGTGTGTCCTTTACACTTGTTCCTGTAAACCCTTCCCCTTTTCCCCTGAGATTCCCTCCCCTCTCCCTTCTGGTCCCTGTCAGCCTGTTTTTATTTCTGTGTCTTTGGTTTATTAATTTTCCCTGGTTATTTCCGCTATCACTTGTGTAGCAGAGTAATTCAGGGTAAAAGGTGACATTTCCTTGCCGTCTTGTACGAGGATTCCACAAGGAAAATGCTGACCCCACTTGCCCTCTGTGTGTGCTTTAAAGGAATGCTCCCAGCCCTGCTGTGAGGCCACTACCTGCAAGTTCAAGCCCAGCGCTGACTGTGCACAGTGGACTCTGAACCACACAACGTGAGCCCTTTCTTTTCTTTCCTTGTCCTCAGATGTCTTCTCACTTTGATTTCATTTTTGAGAATGGTGTGACTTTGGGCTTCAGAATACAGTAAAACACAATTTATCTTACATTTTGAAAATCACTCCGTTTCAGAAAGTAAAAAACATCATTATAAACATGACTAACTCAGGGTTGTGTGTATACTAACATACTAATGAGGAAATGGCTGCTTTGTCACCTGTGACTAGAACTGCTGAAACAAATGCTAAACATTGTATGTAGTGATGAGTTTAATGTTAGCTAGAAGAAGAGAAGTTCACTTTTTTAAAGCCTTGACTGATGCTTACATTTTATTCTAGGTTAAGAGCTGATAGTTGTCATTTGCAAGGTAGTCAGGAAATCAATGACATTTAGAAATATATTACAAGATGCAATGATTGTACTTCTTTAAATTTTATGTTTTATTGAAGTATATCTGTCGCACAATATCACGTGAGCTTCAGGCGTACAACATCGTGACTCGGCATTTATATACTCTGCCGCCTGGTCACACAGCAGGGCTGGTCTGTCATTCTCCAAAGTCATTACCACATTATTGACCCTAGTCCCTGTGCTACACACTATATCTCCTGTGACTTATTTATTTTACAACCAGTATTTATTTTATATAAGGTTATGAAATAACCAAACGCACAAAACAAAATGGAAACAGACTCATGGATAAAAAATAATGGTTGCCCAAGAGGAGGAGGATGGGAAATGGATGAAAAAGATTCTATTCCAAACAGAGTGCATCAAAAAACTATAATCCACGTATCATTGTTGTGTTTTATGCAAAACTCTGAGAGTTGGATGAGGGAACCCACTGGCTCTGAATACAGTAATTTTGTCAGTGAAAAAACAGTCTCTGAATCTAAAAATGGTAACAACAACAACAACAAAGCATAAATAAGAGAAAGAGTCTGAATAAATTACATGGAAGAAGTTATCCATGCTACTCTTCCATGGATCTTTTCTGGAATTGAAAGCAGAGAGATTATGAGACTAATGGGCTCAGTCCCCACCGATGGTCACTTTCTCAGGGAAGGGCTGGCGAGGTAGTAGATGAGGAACAGCACCCTGCTCACGAGGGCCGCCTACCACACACGGCCAAAACCCTCCTGTGAGCCACTCCGCAGGGCACCCCGGGAACTGTGCCCCCCTTCTAATCATGTCAGACACGGGAGCATAGCACCCCTAAAAATGTCCATTCAGCACTCTAGGGGCTTGGGATGGGAGGTGGCCATGTCCCAGGACTGGGCCAGGTGGGCAATTTAGTAACAGGGAAAGAAAATTGAACTTGGACTCAGGAAATGTCAATTCGTTTCTTAGTTGTGCCCCAAATGAGCTATGGGATGTTAAGCCAAGCAATGTAATTAGTTCTTCTCATCTGCAAAGTAGAATGAATAATCTTGTCCCTCAGTAGGGTTGTTAGTATCATTTAAACTCTGTAAATGTTCATGATATGATTGTATAGTATTTTAACATTTACACTAACCATGGCTTCCAAACTGTTTATCTTTTAATCAGCGAGTGAATCAAAAAATCGCCTTCATCGAAGATGCTTCTTGCCTTCTTGCTGGGACAAGAATCTAGAAACCTGAACACACCAGGATTCTTGTGTATTATCACTTTACACTTAGATATATTTTGCTTTTTATTTGTCATTATCCTTTCTGCATTTTTTTTTACCAGTTCAGCTCACTGGTAAGTAGATGTACTTAAAGAAACTGCCTCTTTTCTAAAGACCTGATCTTTCATGTGTGTTTAAAGATCACAAAGCCACTGTTTAGCTCTGCTCTTTGGAAACCTAAGAAATTAGCTCTTGACCAAAACACTTTGAACGCACCACCGAACCAGTCGGAGTCAATCCAGAACTGTAAAAGTAGAGGTGACTTGGATTTGAACTCCACTCTGGTCTTCTTAGTCCCAGCCCGTGAGAAAAACAACGTCGAGACTTGAGGAGTGAAACCTTTCATTCGTGTGCCTTCTGTTCCTCCGCCGAGTTCTGCCCTGCTCTTCTAAGTGTGGTGTTTTCCTTTATCATGTCACGATTCATTAAATATAAATATCTTTATTCTTTCATGCATAATCCTTCCACCATCACAGATAATGTTAATTCTGAGAAGTCTGCTCGCTTACATTTAAATTCAGCTATCAAGGAATGGCTTATTCATCTATCGATTTAATGAGCCATAATGTCAATCAATAAAAGCACAACTTTTTGAGGCTTTTCTGCGTGGTCATTTTCTAACATGAAGAGGTTCAGGCTTTGTTGCAGTTCTGTGTTGGGTGTTAAAGCCTCACATTATTAGACAAGTGTCCCTCTGGTCGTATGACAGTATTGCCACCGAGAGCCCGGCATCGCTATATGCCTGTTGTCCTTCCATGCTCCAAATGGAAGAACCTGAGGCCAGTCACCCAAGAGGACTGGACTGCTCTCTGAGTTTTCTTTCTCTACATGCTTTTAAATAATTACTCAAAAAAAACTACTGAAATTTCCACTGATGCCTGTGCTGGGAGATCCGGGGCATGGACAAACCTCTAGAGCTTGGGCTTTGAAAGGGACAGCCTTTCAGAAACCACCAACCGCCCCTGCCCCTTCCTGTTCTTGCTGTTATTGGCGTCGCAGCTGGAGCTGAGTCAGAAGGCACCGCTGGTCAGGCCACAGCCCCAGGGCGTGGCTCACAGCCTCCGTTCCCGGGTCAACCGACTCCTCCAAGGAAACAGAAGTTTCCTTAAGCACATTTTCCCCCTTGTACCTCAAGATCAGGCAGAGGCTTCTTGTAGTAAAACTGCTGAGTGGCCGGGACCATAGCCAACAGTGTGCTGCAGACAGCTAGCACAGGCTGGTTCATGCCACTTGTTAAATTCTCAGGAATGTCATGAGCTGGATGTCAAACATGGCCATTATTGAAAACCAGCCTGGCCCTGGCTGGTGTAGCTCAGTGGATTGAGCGCAGGCCTGCGAACCAGACAATCGCAGTTCGATTCCCAGTCAGGGCACATGCCTGGGTTGCAGGCCGGTCCCCTGCAGGCCAGTTCCCAGCAGGGGACACACGAAAGGCAACCATACATTGATGTTTCTCTCCCTCTCTCCTTCCCTTCCCCTCTAAAGATAAATAAATAAAATCTTAAAAAAAAAGAAAACCAGCCTGCATGAACGTGTAATTAAATACATTATATTAACACCTGTATTAGTCACATTTATCCAGAGAAACAGAAAATATATATGTGTTTACTTATATGATATATTTGAGAGTGATTGATTATGAGAAATTAGCTCATGTGATGAAGAAGACTGAGAGTTCCCACAATCTGACAGCTGCAAACTCAGACCCAGGAGAGCCGATGGTGTAATTCAGTCCAAAGGCAGGAGAGGAGGTGAGATGTGGTAGCTCAAGCAGAAGGCTGGAAGGGAGAAGGAGTGAATTCCCTTCTGTCTTTTGCTCTCCTTAGGCCCCAGCCTTCCCTGTGGCCTTGAGTGACGGTGCCACGAGGCAGAATGGGAGGTGAGGTGAGTGGTGGGGGGTGGGGGTGGGCAGGATCTAGAAATGAGGAAGGACAGTTACCCAGTAGACACTGTACTAGGTCCTTGCCGTACATCACCTTCTTTAATTTGCCTCACACTCATTTCGGTTTAGTCATGTTTCAGTTCTGCAGATGATGATGTTAACATTCAGAGAGAGAGCGAACCAATGTCACAGAGCAAACAAATGGATGACTGGAGCCTGCCCCAGACATGACACTCTCTTTCTAGGAGAGTACACTGACGTTTCAGTACTTGAGAATTATATTTAATCATCGTGCATTTGAGAAACCAATAAGAAAAACGAACAGCTAAAGATCATAAGAAAATTGTCCACGTGTTTAAATAGTCATAGCACCAACTCATCTTTTTAGGGTTTTGTACATATTAAGAAAGATGAAAGAGCAGCGTGTAAAATATTTCATTGCAGATGATGGTGACTAATTAAACCTTCTTCCCCATGAAGAGGCAACCAAGGAAACAGATATGAAAGGGAGTTCACATACAGGCAGATTGAAAGGCTTTAAAACAGTTTTTTCCTTAGAAATCAGGGAAGAAAGGTAGGTTACAGTTCATGTTTCTCCCAACCCTCTGGCTCCGGGGGGGGGCAGAGAGGTGATGTGAAGTGAGCAGGAGTGGGTGGCCCGAGACGGCTCTCGGACGCCCCCTCCATGACAGCAGGCACCCAGCAAGTGATTACATATAAACCAGGACCAGGACTCTCTGGAAGCTTTCATATCATAATAACCAACAAAGAGAAAATAGACTTGACCTGCTCTTAATGTTCTATCATAATTTAAAAAAAAATGTGGCTGCTTTCTTGGTCTAGAAAAAAACTGAAGAAAGAAGCTATATGTTTAATAACTAGACCAGATGAAGGACTGATCTAATCAAGCCTTAGATGTGGCTGAAGGTAAGGGACATGGTCTGTGAGGTGTGTGTGCATATGTGTGAGTGTGTGCATGTGTGTGCCCATACACGTCCTCAGGGAATTCCATCTAAACACAGAAGCACCCATACAAAGGAATTTGGGGGACAAGCTGTCCTCGGAGGTTAGAGTGAGCAGGGATTCTGGGTACGACACAAGCAGAGTTCAATCAGTCAGGAAAAGAACGTAAGAGCCCCAGGGTCCAGGTGTGGGTGGTGGCATGACTGTGAAGATTTTACGGATCAAAATGATTTTCTGTGGATGGCGGTGAATGAAGAGGCTCTGAAGTACAGCAAAGGGAGAATGAGGAGAGGTGGCTGATTCCAAGTGGCACTGAGTGGTTGAAGATTAAAGACTCAGTAACGAGAGAAGAGGCCTTGGTAAGGGCGGTTGCAGAGTGTATTTTTGGAAAAGATAGTGCAGACCAGGACTGGGACCCCAAGAAGCCTATGTGTGTAAGGAAGTATTTGTATGGAAGATGTGGTTTAGCAGATAATATTCAAGGTTTGAGATTAAGGCAGTTAAAACCAAGTGAGAGCTACCTGTGAAAGGGCATTTGGAGAGGGTTTTACCGGCTGCCGAGACCCCAGAATAAATGACAAAAAAAAGTGTGGAAGCAATGCTGCATTTTAAGGGAGGTGTTCTCAAGTAGGCATTCTGGACTCTTATGCAGAAGACACCTCTGAATTAGATTTTCTTCTGGGAACTTCCTTTAGAATGGAGATTGGAGGGTACAAGGGCAGCCACAGGTCCAGCATCTTAACAGCTAGCACGTAGCCTGGCACTAACCAAGCACTGGGGAGGGAGGGAGGGAGGGAGGGAAAGAGAGAGAAAGTAAGACAGAAACAGAGACAGGACAAAAGGGAGTGAAAACAAGTCCCGCGAGAATGGGAACAGAGTTGCATACAGTGCCTAGGGAAAGCTAGGGTCTGGGAAGAAACAAACTCCTCCGAACAGCACGTATAAGTCCTAGACTCTGAAACAACCTATAGAATAAAGAAAAAAAAGATAAAAAACATGATTGCTGAGCTTAGTACTGAGAGTGGGCCAGAGTTCTCAACGAGCTCAAGTGAAAATGGGAGAGCAGGTTGTGTGACGCCGTTCCTTCTGGCCTGAATCTGTGTTTTGTTTTGGAGAGAGACCCTCTGCTGGCAGAGGCCGCATCTAACAATGAGAACAAAGGGCAATAAAAACATGTCCACGTTAATAAATGTAACATGTGTAGCTTTGACGATGGGTAAGAAGTGCAATGATTCATGAAACGAACTAGTTTCGACTCCTGCTGAAGAGCGCATGCGCACCTACGAGAGCGCCACGGTTATCCCGAGATGCTGTAATCTTGTCCCTTCTCCCTTCCTTCTTTCATTCCAAATAGCACATTCTCAGCCCTTGTATTCTCTCTGTGGCTGTTCCAAGTTAGAAGCTCACCTATTACCTTGACTCAGTTGGGCCCAGCTGAACTAGCCTGGGCTTGGGTGGACCTTTTTTCTGAGCCAAACTTCAGGCTTCTGAGGACTCCAGTGGACATCTCAACCCACAAGCCTGGCTTTCATCTCGAATGCAGCATCTGACACTGCATTCTACTTCTGTTTCCCTCAGAGAGCCTCCTTTACCAACATATGTTTCAGGGAGCCGTGGACCCTGAGGATCAGTCCTTGCCTTGCCTTTCTCTCTCGTGATCACACACATAGTCAACAGATTCCAAGAGAAAAATGGAGGCAGACAAACAGAGGGTCAGAAAAAGCTCACTAGAGGAGAGGAGGTAAGAGAAGAGAGAAAATGTTGGGGGGAATTAAAAAAATCTTCTTTACTCAATAGAAGAATCAGGAAAGAGTCTTCCCAGGCCAGTACCATTCTGTTTCAGGGAACTACAAAGTCATTCTAAATCTTGACCACTAAATATCAAAATAGTTCGCAAACTATTAGGGACTGAGACTTTTTCAGCTTTGTTCATCCCCCAGACCACCACTTTTTCATTTCTGAAATCACATTAACTTGGATTTTGGTATCTTCAAGTGACTGTGATCGAGAAAAGATACATTCAAAGAGGAAGCGAGTCCCTCTCTCCCACCTTGGGGAAAAGAAGTAATGTTTTCTCAGCTCCAACATTCATGGGATATATGAAAGCAGTGAGAAATTCAGATGAAGGGTAGGTAATGAGTTTTCTGTAGACAGATGAAAAGAAGCCACCAGGGGGAACCAAGGTTTAAATGGTCAGTACTGTCGAGCCAGGCGGTCAGATCACCTTTATAGAGATTACTTATAAGTAACTGAACCTATCACATCAAAAAACAAGTCCACACTCTTCAAGTGTTCCAAAGAGAGCCCCTGCCTGTGTCCTGTGCCCTGGACTGGGCTCACGCTTTCAGTGGACCCGTCACTCCAGCTCCTCAGGCACTAACCCCTCTGCTCTTACAAACAGATCTTGTATAATGAAGAGTAAAAGCGTCTGTCTTGGGTTCCCTTAGCAGAGCTAAGTACAGTGTTTTTCCCAGAGACGAACTTTACTTAGTTAACAACAGTGAGAGATAAACAGCGGTGTCAGACACAAGCATAAGCAGTCCTCTTCCTCAAATGCAGCAATCCGCTGTGTGCAGAAACTCTGGCCCTAAGGACTGGGGCACTTTTCTGGACCTTGGCCTCTTCCCTTCCTTTATTTCATTTTTTCCATTTTATTCCATTTTACTGACTATTAACCTCTCTTCTTCAATTTTGATCCCCGTTCATCCCTGTAAATCCCATCTCTGAACTATCGGCCGGCACCTCCCGCTAAG